AAGATCATTACAAATAAATTATTAAATGCTAAAACTGAATAAATTTAAATGAATAAACTTGGCGTTGCATTTGCAACCATGTGAAAATGGGGGGCTGCAGCCCCCTCAGCACCCCTACTTCCCGCGTCCCTGCTAAACTGTTAATTACTTTCCCATGGTAGGCCATTCCTTCACGATCACCGGAGTCAACAGCGGAATAAGGAAGGCAACAGCCATGGCTAAAAAAAGGTTTGTTTTACAGTCAAATAATTTTTAGGTTACAGTATTATTTTTCCAACTATATGATGGCAGCAGATTGTAGTACGGTACCTTAATGGTCAGTTTTTGATCAATTTCATACATCCTTGCTAAAGTCTTTTTTTATTTTGCATTTTACTGACTCCAGACTGACTGAGTTTTGAACTGTATGATGAATGACCTGTTAATGTGCTTTTTATCATTTATATGGCTGTTCATTCAGTTTGAGGAAAACTTTTTAATTAATTTGGCTTTGAGGATCTGTGTGGAATAGCTGGTCTGTGAGGTGTAGTGTGTATGATGTGATTTGTGCTTTGCTGCAAGGGATAAGTTAATTGCTATTACTTCTGTGCTGCTGCCCAAATGTGTTTTAGGCTGTTTAATTAAACAACACTAAACCCCTGTGTTCACCCCTTTGAACTATGTCCAAAGATGGTGTAGAAATCAAACTATGAAGACCACATTATTTGTACATATACATAGAGCGATCAGAATTTTGCATCAGTACTTAGATTCACTAATATATTATTAAACGATACATTTTTACGGCATTGTTTTAAATGTTCACAGAGTGCCGAAAACCTATCAACATTTCATACATTTGCTCTGTTTTGACCACTATAATAATTACCTACCAAGGATCAGTGTAAAATTATAATTTTTTTAATTTATATTTTTATTATATTATTATTTTAGAATATCTTTCTAAAGCTCGTTCTTTGTTTCATTGTACACCTTACAATACAATTATGTAAATGAGAAAACCTTTGTAATGGCTCTCCGGAGATTATAGCGCCGTCTGCTGGTCACGTGTCGCCACTGCCGCTGTGTGCAGTATAGTATATCTGTCAGCGTGCGAGGCGAGCAGCTCTCAGTCCCGCAACAGCAGCGCGAGGAGTTCACGCGCCACCGGGCTCTTGTTTCACATAAGTTTCAGTCTGTGCTTCTTTGATTAGCTTTTTTTCCCTCTTTAAATAGCGAACGCTCCAGGACCCTTCACATGCACTATTGTTCCTCAATAGAGATCTGGCAGCTACCGTTGTTTTTACTCGTTGAATTGATATTTCTCTGGAAATCTATGAAAACCCAAGGATTATCCGCATCGAGAAGCCATTTGTCAGTTTAAATGGGAAACATGTCATTCTTCATATTCCGTACGACTACAGGGATTTTAATGCAGATGTTGTGGGAAGTTTAATGCAGATATTGTGTGATGGCCGGAAATCATCATCAGCTGTAAGTGCTCAAACCTGAATAAGGTAAGTAAAACCAAACTCCAAATATTATTTGAGACTAACACTCTGCTGTTCTTCATTTATTTTTGATACAGTAATATTTTACATATAATATCACATGGTAATATTATATAATACTGTAAAATAAAATGTGAAATTAAAAACAGTTTTTCATTTGGTATGGACACTTTCATATAAAGTGTGTCCTAAATACATTTTATTCCTTAACATTTTAGACTAAAACTTTCCAATTTGTAATGCATGTTACGTCAGTAGGTAACACTCAGCTCGACAGTGTATTTTCATTGCATGTCTTTCCTCTTACAGTAACCATGGCTTACACCGGAGCTCAGAAGGCTTTGAAGAGTGATAAGTTAGATGAAGCTCAAGCTCTGGCCAAAAGCTGTGCAGGCAGGCCGGACTTTCTCCCCTGTGATGGACTGTCCATCTGCGCGACACACAGCCACGGAAAGTGTTTCAAACTGCACTGGTGCTGCCATCTGGGCTGGTGTCACTGTAAGTGGCCACCTTCTGACACGCAAATGCATTCTATTCCACTCTATTCTATTTATAATACATCACCTGATAAAACAATAAGTGTCTACTACTCTGAGGAGTAGTATCATTCACGTCACACAAAAATCAACAACAAAGGGATAATAATGCAGATGACAGTATGATTAAAGATCACTGCCCAAACATTTTATATATGTAGCAGAAAGAAATATTCTGCTGTCGATCATCTTGCAGGAAAACTAGGTTATATAGTGAATACATGCACACGATTTCATTTTCTTCACTATTTTTATGAATCTAGGGTTTCAAAGATGACATCTATTTGATAAATACCATGCGCTGTGTGTATGATCGCACGATCTGTTTTTCTTATTTATTGTCAGCTGCTTTGGGAACATTTATGAGCTTGTGCTGTCATCAGAAACTGCTGTCTGGTGTCGCTTGGATGCTTTTTCAGCATTATATGACTTCATATGTTTCTGAGAATTTCTTAGTAAGCAAGATGTGTCAGCCAACCTTTATATTTGACTTTATCAAAGCAGACCTCACCCCACAACCTTGACACCACCGCTATATTCTCCAGTCGTTAGCTTGACATGACCCTGGATCTACCAGCCATCAACGTATACACAGGAAGCGACAGCTCCGCTTCTTTAGCAGGATGTTCACTTCCTCTAGTTCACGTCCCTTTGACTGAGTTCAGCTCCTGAGTGATTGTAAAAGCTTTCATTGTGTTTAAGGGAGGTAAATGTCAGCGTGAGGCCTTTAGAACTGTGTGAACTGATCAAACCATATTTAATACCCTCTCATGACACTTCCGTCAGGGGAACTGAACTTTGAGTTCAGCCATCAAATAATAAAAGAATATTATCCTCAATGGCCCTTAGAGTACTTTCAACCCAGAGATTTTTGATTTCCTCTATATTTTAGATTAAGCCCATTCTTTTCCAGCTTATTTTTGGTGTAACTGATTGTGATTACTTATACAGCACAGAAAGGGTACTCTATTTATGTATTTATTTGATCGATAAAAGCATGTCTGTAATCATCACAAATTGTAATAAAACAATGTAATACTGGTCTACAAATGCAGTTATGCAGCCTTTGTTTTATGACTGCTTCATCATTGTTAGCATACATTGTGATAGTGTAATAGTTTTTACTTTTCATTAATGCACACATGAGATATGAAGTTGCAAAATCATGAATTTGGACTATAGGATGGTGGGAGACACTCAAGTGTTTCTTAAATACGTGTATGTCCTTTATCAGTCTGTGCACATTATGACAGCTTTAATCTAGCGTTATTGCAATAGAGACAAAGCATTATGTTAATGCGTGCTCGTGGTTTATCAGCCAGCACACTTTCCCTGTGATATAACTACTGACTGGTGCGCCATTGAAAAGCACTAAATGTACCATAAAATTACAAACACAACATGCTCACCTCGATTTGTATTGTTTAGTATGCCTGTTCAGTTAAATAATTCATGGCTGGAAATCCTGGAGCTCTGATGCATAACTGTGTTGCAGACTTTTGAAATTACACCTAGCACAACTGGTAACTGCTATTCACAACCCCATGTGTGGCTCATTATCAGGTGGAGCACTCATCATTTTATGAAAGATCTACAGATCTTTCGCTTTAGTACACTACCGTTTCAAGTTTTTTTCTGAAATAAATTAAAACTGTTATTCAGCAAGGATGCATTAAATTGATCAAAAGTGACAGTAAAGACATTTTTTATCTTATAAAAGATATCTATTTCAAATAAATGCTGTTGTTTTGAGCCTTCTATTTATCAAAACATATGAAAAAATGTATCATGGCTTTTCACTAAAATATTAAGCAGCAGAACTGTTTTCAACATTAATAATAATAAGAAATGTTTCTTGAGCAATCAGCATATTAGAATAATCATGTCAAACTGAAGACTGGTGTAATTATGCTGAAAATTCAGCTTTGCCATCACAGGAATAAATGATATTTTACAATATATTCAAATAGAAAACAATGATTTTATATTGTAATATTATTTCACAATATTACTATCTTTATACTGTATTTTTTTAAATCAAATAAATGCAGCCTTTGTGAGCATAAGAGACGTTTCTTTTAAAAACATTTAAAAAATTTACTGACCCCACTGAATGAGTACTGAGATTGTGCTCAATGCCAAAAAACTTAAATCCCCTAAATCCTTTCAAATGCAGTTCTGTTTCCATTGTAGAAAAATTCTTTATTGTGTCTTACCTCTTCTTAGGGTGTAGTGAGAGCCCCATCGGGACATCGCTGTGTTATGGTGTACATTGTGATGATTTATTAATATTGCTGTTCCGCAGCACCACACGTGATACAGTCAGCTTTGCTCAGCTGTGTTTGGGTTTGACACTATACAGTCATACTTTGAGCAAATCCATGGTGCGCCATTGAAAAGCACTAAATGTACCATAAAATTACAAACACAACATGCTCACCTCGATTTGTATTGTTTAGTATGCCTGTTCAGTTAAATAATTCATGGCTGGAAATCCTGGAGCTCTGATGCATAACTGTGTTGCAGACTTTTGAAATTACACCTAGCACAACTGGTAACTGCTATTCACAACCCCATGTGTGGCTCATTATCAGGTGGAGCACTCATCATTTTATGAAAGATCTACAGATCTTTCGCTTTAGTACACTACCGTTTCAAGTTTTTTTCTGAAATAAATTAAAACTGTTATTCAGCAAGGATGCATTAAATTGATCAAAAGTGACAGTAAAGACATTTTTTATCTTATAAAAGATATCTATTTCAAATAAATGCTGTTGTTTTGAGCCTTCTATTTATCAAAACATATGAAAAAATGTATCATGGCTTTTCACTAAAATATTAAGCAGCAGAACTGTTTTCAACATTAATAATAATAAGAAATGTTTCTTGAGCAATCAGCA